GGGCAGGGATACGAGCAGATGAGTCACTGACCGCTCTCCCACCTCCCAGGCTGGAGACCTCCCCCCACCCAGAGCGTGACCTCATTAACTCAAACATCATGTTGCCGAGACTGGAGGGTACTGTGCCCCCACCATGTTGCCCACCAGACAAGGCAGCCCACCTGGCACCCACCCACCAGTCCGCCAGGTGATTCCTGCCACACTGCATGTACCCAGCCCATCAACCTGGCTCAGCCTCAGTCCAGCACACACCCACCCAGCCAGCATGCTCACCGCCCCGTTCAGCTTGCCGTGGATTCTGGAAAGTCCCAGACTGCTGCAGCCAATTCATCGGGGGTTACTCAGACCTTCTAATCTGTGTTACACAGTCATTATCTGGGGCTATTGATATTGGCTTTAATCAGTAATGACAATCCTCGCATAAAATATTTAATAACCTTTCATAACACCAGAAATTTGATTAAGGTCACAGAGTTTTTCTTGGATTTCCACGTGGACTCCTGAAAGCTCAGCTGGGTTTATTCCAAGCAGAGGTGAATACACTCGACCCAATTACCGGCCGAAGGCGATGGAAAATAGCAAAGTCATAGTCAGCCACTCTTGCTCCCCTGAAATGCTCAGCAGCAGCTCCTGGAAATGGGCGAAGGGCTAGACAGATGAGTCACACAAAAAAGGAAATACAAGTGGCAACAAATCTTGGGAAAATAATTAGCCTCACTGGGAATCAAGAAATAATCATTTAAATCAGGCACTGTTCCTTTCATCAACCTGGCAAAGATTCATCTGACAACTATAATTCTGCTGCCGTTGGTACTAACAAATTTTTTTTTTAAAAAGTAAATGTGTCTGGGCCATGACAGCCTCGTCTGCCTCACTCTTCCTGCATCTGAAAATGCACAGAATCACTTCTCAGCCTACTGCAATTGTGTGGTAGGACACGGAGCTCTATTTTCATTCCTTCTGTCACCACCAGCTACAGAAAAGGGCCAGAAGTAGAGCTCTAATCCAAGATGGGCAGGACACAGAGGCCCCTCTCTGCCCTCAGTGATTGGGCAGGGACAGGCGCCTGACCAAGTGCCACCCTGTGATCTTTCAGCCTGGGGTAAGAAAGAACAGCTTCCGTCCCTCTCCAGTGGACAAGCTGGAAGGTGTGACCAGGGACAGCCAGCAGTAGCCAGGCCCTCTCAGCTCACTATGACACAGCATGGGTTTTTATAAGCCAAGGCCTAGGGTAACAAAGACCTGGCTGGTCTCCCTATTATACACAATGGCAAACAGGTACTCAGGTCACATCCTTCAGGAACAACGGTAATTTGCCTGAGTTCCCATCCCGGCCATCATAAGAACAATCTAAGAAAGCCAACCTAAGCATGAAACTGGGCTGTCATATTCCTCTGTGGGAGGGAAGAGGAGCAGTGCCTCTCTGTCAGAGAGCTGGGATGGTGGGCCAGAGAATACCTTTCCATAAGAATTCAAATTATTGCTTTGCACCACCATTCTGAGCCTCAACACCACTAACCTACTGACTCAAACTAAAGGCTAAAAGGTTTAGATTCTGAGAAGTAATCTCCAAACTTCTAGAAAGCCCTTTAGCTGTGCCACAGTCTGGGTCTGGAGTGTTCCCCTGAGGCCCATGTGTTAAAGCTTGGTGCCCAGCCTGTGGCACTCGTAGGAGGCAATGTAACTTTTAAGCGGTGAGGCCCAGGAGAAGGATTTAAGTCCCCTGTATCATAACCTCAAAGGGGCTTGTGGGGCCCCAAGTTTTTCCTTTATTCCCCCACACCCTGGCCATGGAGTGAACAGTTTTGCTACACTGTGTGTTCCTGCCATATGTGCCATTTCTTGCCTTGTAAGACTCCTAAAAGCAATGGGTCCACCCAATAGTGGACTGAAACTGCCAAAACTGAGCCCAAATAAACCTTTTGTCTTTATAAGTTGTTTTACTTGAGGTATACGTTACAGAAATAGGAAGCTGACTAACACAAGGTGTGGGAAGCCAAGAGAAAAATAAAATTACTTTCATGGAGCTCCTTTTACCAAGTGTAAAGAAAACAGTAGAAACTCCTTCCTACCCCCACCACTACAGTCCACCCCATTCTACAGCGATGGGCTCACAGGCAGGCAGGACTTAGAAAAGCTCCTGCTGTGCTGGCAGACTTGCATTTCTCTCCCCTACAGTCGGCCTCCCTGAGTTCAAACTCTGCCTCTCTTACTTAGTAGTTCTATGGTCTTAGGCACATTGCTTAATCCCTCTCTGCATCCTCTGAGGTTAAATTAAGGAATGTTTTCAGGAGACTAGTCCAGCACTTGGCACCAGGGGACATTTCAGATAAATAATAGCCATCATCATTAATAATTGTACCAGTGATCTAACAATGCAGGTATAAAACAGATGGGTAGGGGATACCTGGTGAGAAATGGCTTTAGCATTTGAACAGATGGCCTGTTGATATTTATGGCTACCCTGATCACATACTGATCCTACTTTATGGATGCATAAACTGAGGCCAGAATCAAAGTGCTTGCCCCTAAACCCCGATCTCTGAAAGATAAAGAAAGCAGGGCCAAAGGTCCCACACCCAGCTTTCCACCCTGGAGAGAACACACCATTCTTTGAAGAGCGCTGGTCAGAGAATTCACTTTATAAGTATAATGTGAGACAGGCGGCACTGACATCCCCACCTTGCAGTTGAGAAAACTGCGAAGCTACAGAGAGGATAAGTAACTGTTCTGAGGTCATACACCGCAGCAAGAACACTGTCAAAGTCCCAAGCCAGTGATATTAATAAGTCATTCTACTGCTCTCTCCACTCCCATGAAAAAGCTTTTGTTCTTGCCTGGCAGCAAGGCAGAATTTAACAGGAGCCAGTGAAACGGTGACCGGGGGAGAAGAAAGGCACAGACCCCAGGGGAGCAGGGCCATGAGGATGACAATGACCCATCCCGCGGACACTGTATTTCTGCTCTAGAAGGGACAGACACATCACACAGCACACCGACACCTGCTCTGCACAACCAGTTTCACAGACTGGGCTCAGCTCGCACACTGAGGACTATTGCGGAGGACCTGTGGACATCATTCACTGCCGCTGTGTCCTCCTGTTCCTTCTGATGCTGCCTGCTCTACAAGACAGGCAGGCTCAGGGACAAGAGACCAACTCCAAAGAGAAACACAGCCTCACTCAAAAAGAGACCAGCTAGAGCAAGGGTGACCCACCAAAGGAGGCCAGGGCCTAGGAATGCCTGCAAAGACACCCTCAGTGGGTAACTCACCTTCACCCTTCCCAACCCTCAAAAGGCTCAGTTCAAGGCCCACAGGACCGAGGGGAGGAGGAAGACGGTGCCCGCTTCGCAGAAGGGCAGCACATGGTCCAGCAGGGAATGAGACATATTCACAGGACCCAGGGTGTGGAGAGCAGAATCAAGGGCCAAGCTGTGGAGCTCAGAGGATAGAAATCACAGCCTTCTCCGAGACCCACCACAGTTACTGGTGACTTGGACAGTTGGCTTGCTGGTCACAATCACCTGCCTCTTCTCCCAGGGGATCATGGGCTGACATCCAGTCCAGGTGGCACGGGAAGTGCCAGCCCCGTGGGAGTCAGGTTTGGGCTGCTACCGCACAGGATTTAGCAGAAGCACAACACCTTTGGGGAATCTGCGAAGACCCTGGGGCTGCTGCGTATCTAACCATTCACCCATGACATTCTGGCCCATGCCTTTCTGCTGTGGGTCACAGGAGCCAGAGTCACCACCCCACCTGGCCTCCTAGTAGGACCCCATGTTCCCAGAGCATCAGGATTCTTCTCAGAACAAGCCTGGTCCCAGTTTTCTATGCCTCCCAGATGGCTTTTTCCTCCTTGCGTGCTGCAGCAAGACAGGCCATCATGTACTTTACAGCCTCCCTCGGGCTAGCCCTGCATCCCAGACCAGCCCTCTTTTCTGAAGTAGGGAGCGAGGGATGTTTTCAGTTTTAATGGCTGCAGTTAAATGTTTCATAGGCAAAAACTGAGGCCAGATCACTTTATAATCATTCTTCTGGCTCCTGCATAATTGATGTCCCTTATGCACTTTTCATGATCTAATTTATCTACCTTCTAAAATATTGTGTAAAACCTGAGTCCCATCTGTAATGATCTATGTCCCGCTGTAAAGCCTAGGAAAGGATTTGCTACCAAAGCTTTGTTTGTGGGCATACACTAAGCTGTGCTAGGTGGAGGCAAGATTGTTTCCACGATGGACAGAGGCATGCAAATCTAGCCTGAGCTTGGAAAACACAGCTAGGGAAGAGGCTGGGGTAGGTGGAATTCCCTGGAAAGACCTTCCCTGAAAAGAGAAGGTGGAGACTGAGGGAACACAGGGGACTTCCTAGGCGCCACTACAGAGAGATCACCTGTGTGGCCCATCAAATGTCAATGATGACAGCAAAAGTAACAGCAATAATGATGGCAGCTACCGCGCTATTGAGACCAGTTGCCGGGCACTGTGCTGGCACTTTCTAAGCCAAAGTAAGGTACGATAAGGACAGTCACCACTCTCTTCTCACAGATAAGAGAGCTGAGGCTTCGGAAAGTACGGTAAGTCACTTGCTTGAGGTTCATAAACGGGGATGATGCCATTCAAACCTGAGCCCTTGGATCCAGAGCTCAGGCTCCTAACTTCTGCACCACTCTACACCTCCAGGTGGATCTGCCTCCTAAAAATTGTCTGTCCCGTAAGCCTAGAAACCCCTGAGTTTCAAGAGCCAATAAGCAAGACTTATAGACAGTGGTTACCAGACTCACTTAAAGAAAAAAAAAAAGACATCTAATACTATGTGACTCTCAGATAAACAGCAAATAATTTTAAAATGTTATTCATTCTTTACTTGAAATTCAAATGTAGGGCTAAGGGTGTGGTTCAGTGGTACAGCATTGGCCTAGCATACCCGAGACCCTGGGATCAACCCAAATACCAAAAAAGAAAAAAAAAAATCAAATGTAACTGAGCAGCTTCTATCTTACCTGACAGTCTTGGCTGGGGATACTCTCAATGTGTACAGGTCTGTCATGGCATCTTTGGGACCCCAGAAGATTGCACTCACAGAACACAGCCTGCCTGGGAAACAAGGGACAGCCTCATTGTGAGTCAGATCTGGCTGGCAGAGGGCCGCAGAGTGAGAGCTACAGAGGAGCACAGGATCCCAGCTGGTCTGAGATGGGGCAGAGAAGAGCCACAGGAAGAAACAGAGGCTGCCCTCCCAGCGCAGCCACTTACCTACTGCGAGGTCCACAGCCTGCACTTCAGCTCCTGAGTGCAGCCAGAGACCCCAGGATGGAGCCCAGCAACTAGAGAACAACTCCAGGGTTGGCCCAAGCTCACACCAAGTCCATCTCCCAGGAGACACTGCCCAGAGCCCAGACCCGCTGTCCAGATGCTGATCCAAACCAAAGCAACTCCACACACACACATCCCCTCCCTGGGAGCTGCTGTTCCCACCCATACCCTATCTCTCCCTGGGGGTCCTGCTCAGCCCTGTCTTCTCTAGGAATCCACCTGCCCCACCTACCAATCTCACCCCTCCTGCACATCCTTAGAATTTATCCCTTCCGGCAAACATCTACACATTTATTATTTACTATGTGCCTAGCACATAGCCTGGGAACAGTTAGTGCTTGTTGAATGAAGGAATGAGCGTTACTGTGGTTCTGCCCAACACCCTCATTATATATGCAGTTCCCCAGCAGAGGGAACCCAGGGCTGTCCGAAGCGGCAGAGTGAAGACCCATCAAGAGAGGCCCACAGGTGACTCCTGACGTCCTCATCGCTCTCAGCCCAAGGCCTGGCTCAGAGTAGACTCAACTACACTTTCCTGGAGCAGTGGCTACCCATGAGGAAGACAGGGACACGGTGGGAGAATCCAGACCTGGCCACGTGCCTCTCTCCTGGCTCCACGCAGGGCTTGGACATATCACGGACATTCTTCCCTTTGGTTTCCTTCGTTGGAGAGCCAGACGTGAACACCGAGCTCTGAGTGCTGGGATTATGCAGCGATTATGCCGTCGTTGTAACGCTGTATCTTACACCTAGAGGCACACAGAAGGCTGGGCGCATGGTCACCTTAAAGCTCAGGTTCGTTGCATGTTCCACCTGCCCCAGCAGCCTCCCGAGCTGGGGCCGGCCTTGCCCCGACAGTGATAAACTCCCTCCCTGTGAGCCCGGCCATGGGGCACTGCTCACATCTCTGTGCTTCTCTTAAGTCCAGTTGCCCCGAGTTGAGGCCAAATAAACATGGATATTCTCTCTCACTGCAAGCACAACACCTCAGTCAATCTCCTGGCACCCGAACCAGGTTCACTGTTCTTGTGTGGAATTCCACAGATGCTTATAAACACTTCCATTACTTCTGAAGTTTTATTTATGGTTTTTGTTAAACCTTTACTTTGAAGTTTGCCATTTGAAACATCCCCTGACTGAGCGAGATTTATTCGGGTTCCTCTCACAGAAGCTACCTGTAATGGACAGAGCTAAAATCAATTTATAGGCCTCAAGAGCAGCTGACAACTCATTTTTATGAGAGGAGGGTTTTCTCAGGAAAGGGGCTGCAAATATTGCCAACCTAGCATTCCTCCAAGAGGCTACAGCACAGGGCACCTTCTCTGTCCTTCCGAAACCAGCTCAATCAAAGCAGCACTAGAACTGCTTCTCACCTGGCCAGAAATGGAAATGGGCACACCAGACTCAGGGGGCTCAGTGTGCCGGGCAGACATGCGCTACAAGTCAACCCAGTGATTGGAAAGGGGCCAAGAGAAGAAGTAGGGGGGCAGTAGCGGAAGTCGGGGGGCAGTAGCGGAAGTCAGCCATGTTGCAGATTCATTCAGTGTTCTAAACGCCCCGTCTGAAGGAAGCCTTGCCCACATCTTTTCAGGCCTTGTCAAATAAATTAGGAAATCTCTTTCTTTGAAGATCAGTGGTATAGAAATGACTTTGAACTCTTAATATCAGGCATTAGCTAGATAATGCTAGGTTTTATTAAGAATGAAAAGAATTTACCAATTTTCTTCCAGCAATTCTCTCTGGACTCCCCAAGGAAGGTAATCACTAGATAATTGCTCAACGACTCTTCAGGTCCATTCAAATCTACTGAATTGTTTAGAGACGGAAAAGGCAGAAGTCCCTTAAGGGACTCATTACTAAAATGCTGGGACCTAAACTTGGCAAAAGACACAATGCTGGAAAAAGTCGGGATACCAGAGAAACTGGGTACATTAGTTAGTGCTGTGAAAATAAAATACCATCCATTTGAGTGGCTTATATATCAGACATTTGTATCTCATAGTTCTGGAGGCTGAAGTCCAAGATCAAGGTTCTGGCTGATTCTGGTTCTGCTGAAGGCTCTCTTCCTGGCATGCAGATGCCTATTTTCTTGCTATGTCCTCAAAGGACAGCGGGGACTCTGGTGTATCTTCTCATAAAGACACTAATCCTATTGAATCAGGCTCCAGTCTCATAAAGACACTAATGCTACAGGATCCAAGGCCCCATCCTTTTTACATCATTTAACCTCAAGTACTTCCTTAGTGCCCCCACTGCCAAATACAGACACACTGAAAGTTAGGGCTTCAACGTTCATATTTGGGGTGGACATAGGCATTTGGTTCACAACACTGGTTTGCCACAACTTGGATCCCTGCTTTCAGGAAATCCCTCTTCTGGGTTCCATTTCCTACCCACACTGGGTGGTCCAAACCTGGCCATGCTCCCTGCCCTTACTGTCTACCTCCCTGCCCCCTCAGGACACTCTGTAGGGGCCCCCAGAGGGGCCAAGTGCCTCTTCCAAAACCACAAATCTGAGTCCTTCCCCTGATCAAAACTTCAGTAGCTCCCCTACCACACAAATAATTAGGTCTGTAATTCAGAAAATTATCATATGCATGATCAAAAAAAAAAAAACCTTGGAGTCGGGCAGATCCACATGCAAATTCTGGCTCTGACTTTGAGTAACTATGTGATCTTGGGTAATTTATCTATCCCTGCTAAACCTCAGGTTCCTCATCTGTAAATTGGAGAAATAACAGTTCTTACTTTGGTTTGTGGCAGAGACAAAGAAAAGGAATGCTGGGAAGTACTTAGCAGAAAGCCTGGCACTGAAAACTGGAAGAAAAAAATTAGTCCTGATTTTCAATACACAATTTCTATTGACCTCTTAGTGGTCTCATCCTATCTGGTGACTTTAATACCATCTAAAAGCAAATGGCCCTTAAATTTATAACTCTAGCCCTGATCTCTCTCCAGAATTCCATACAAAAAAATCCAGCTGTTGGATGTATATGCTGAAATATCACAAAAATAAAATATCAAGCAAAAGACATCTTCCATGTTGAGACTAGAAGCAGCTCTCACCACTCACGACCCCCTCCAGTCCAGGCCACTGTCACTCTCCCCTAGGGGCTGCAGTAGCCTCCTCCCTTTCTCCTGACTCCAACCCTGCCCCGGAAGTGGTCAAGTTTTCACACAACACACAAGACGACACTTTTAAAACAGCAGCCACATCACGCGGCTCGGCCGCTCAGAACCCTCTAGAGGCCCCAGGTTGCTCAAGGCTGGCCCACTGCTGTGCCCTCCATCCCTCAGCAGTGGCCACACTGGCCTCTTTGTGTTCCTCAGTGCACATTCCCACATTAGGCTCCCGGGCAACTGCTACTTCTTCGGCCTGGTGCACTCTCCCTCAGACGGCAGCCTGGTTAATTCTTTACATCCTTCTGAAAGTACCCAGAAGTCTTCTTTCCAAAAAGTTCGACTCTGCTACTCTGGTCAAAATTGCAACCTGCGGAGGTGCACACACACGCACGTGTACACACACACACAGACACAGTGTTCCCATCCCTTTTCTGTTCCACTCGTCTTTTCCTTGCACTTCCATCTTTCTAACATACTATAACATTATTTACATTTACGTTTTTAATTGTCTCTTTCCCCATGTTAGACTGTAAACTCACAAAGGTAGGGTGTTTCTCTTTCATTTACAGCTGTGTATCCTATCCCTTCCCTAGCACAGCACCTGGCACAGTAGGCACACGGTAAATGCTTGTTGAATGAATGCAAGTCCACCCACTAGCTCACACATTCACTGCACAAGATCCCAATCCACTTTCCCAGGACATCCCTCTACAGGACCTCTCACCCTGCCCTGTCTACCCATCGATGTTGTGAGTGCCCTTTTCCCAGAAGCCTCGTCCACCCCAAGCCCACCAGTGGACATCCCTCCACAGGCCAGTTCTCCTTCTCCCCTGGGACATCTTGGCATCCTTGCAGCTTCTCCAAGCCTGTCCTCTGGCCATCTTCCACCCTGCTGGGCACCATCATGGGTGAGAGTCTGCCCTCTGGTTTTGCTACTTCTGAGTCCCTCCTTTCCTCCCCTGCTTTGTCAGGCACAGCTCAGCTGTTCCAGAAAGATTTGGGAGTCAACTAGCATTAACTCCACCCACCTGTAACTTTACAACTCCAAAGTAGAACCTAGTTTTGGAGAGTCAGCTAAACTCTCCTCTTGAGACAAGAGGGGCAGGTAATGAATGACACCGTTACCTTCCTCTCACCTGGCTCAGAACTTCACCAGCGGGGCCAGAAGAAACAACACTGCCCCTCCCCAAACTGACACTGCCACAACGCAGCCCAGCTGCAGCCTCCCATCCAGTGTAGCTGCTCTGCGACCCGCTCCTGTTCCCCCAGCAGCATCCACGGAACTTGTTCCTTCCAGCCTATGAAAAAAAATCCCATTCATAACTATGTGAATTCAGGAATAGAAAAAAAATACATTTGCTACAAACATGGGGGTCTACATGGCACCATGCACCACCTGGAAGGGCTTTTAATCCTTGAAGTATTAAGTCATATAGTCAATTTCTTACTTCAAAACAGCAACGAGACATCCCCTACATATCCACCAGCCCTGCCCTGGGAAAACAGGGCACACACCACCTGTGACACCCCAGAGTTCACGTGTCCGCAGAGGTGTCTTATCCATGTGTGCCCACGTAGGAATTCACACAAAACAACACCCACGTTCCAAGACTCAGGCTGACTCTCGATGACCCTAGCTCCCACTGGACAAGGGCATCAGCAGCACCAAGGTCAGGTGAGGAAAGCAAACTTCCTGTGGGAGTCACATTCTCTCACCTGCTCATCTTCCTAGAGGATAATGCAATGGAAGTCATGGAAAGTTCAAAGAGAGGCATTGACCACATGGCCCAAAGCTGCCATCTAAGTTTTATTTGCTCATTAATGGGATCAAACCTCTGGGAAAGGAATAGGAAAAGCTAAATGCCAGAGAGTGCCAGGAACACCACAAAACATGGGCTCTGAGCAAGAGGGGAAAGGTCGCAGCTCTGAGGACAAGGCTCTCAGAATCTTCCTCACTGATGGGTTGTCCTTTCTGGCTTTGGGGCACAGATTTGGAAAGGCTTCCTAGTTCCTTGGAATTCTACAAGCGCTCTTCTCATGAGGGAAGGAAAACATAACATAATAGGCATGTTCTTAATGACCAACCACTGCCAAAGAACAGTGGTGATCAAGGTCCACCCAGCAGGCTCTTCTTCACCCTGGACCAGCCAGGGGACCACCCTCCAGGTGCAGAGGTAAGATACCCTAACAGAGAGTTATTTCAGTGACAACTAAAGTGACACCAGGAACTCACACAACCTCTCAACTCCTGCTATGTCATCCCTAACATGGGGAACACCTCACTCCCTGCTGCAAGGGCTTGGGGCTGGTACAAAGCACTGTGCGCTCAGGGAGTGCGTATGGAGGGAGGCACTAGGCTGAGTCTGATTCTTTCAACCCTGTGATATGGGAACTACGATCCCCATTTTAGAGACTGGAAATCTGCGGCTCAGAGTCTAAAGCCCAAGTCTAAAATCTCACAGCTACAGCATAGCAGAGTCACAGCTAGAACCCAGATCTATGCCAGAAGTTAAGCTTTTTAAGTCACAAATGACCTGACTTGATTCCACACAGTGTCAGGCCCAGCACCAGCACACACTGGCTGTGGAGGCAAAGCCCATTCTCTGGGTCTCACATGTCTCGACTGTAGCCCCTCAGTTATAGCTGCCTTGTGGCCCGGTGCTGTCTGAGTTAGCCCCAGGTTTATTCTTTTCCCCTCTGACCAGGAGGGAACCACAGGAGTGTGGAGGCCATTGCTCAACCCTCTAGCACTCTATCCGGTCTTTAACTCAGAAGAGGAAAAGAAAGAATATTTTCCTTCACAATTTCCTCTCGCTTGAATATCATATTTCCACGAGGTATTGGGTTTGTAGAAGCCTGGTTCCCCAGAGGAATTCCCAAGAAGCCATCTGCTGGTGTGCTTCTAAGACACCTTGGCGCATAGAATGTAGGACAGTAATCAATCACACAAATGGGAGCTGCTACCTCTTTCCCTGGGAGATGGGTGTGCTCAAGGGCTGCATCAGGCAGGCACTGATGTGGGCTCTGCAGATGCTCTGGCCATGTTGGGGTCATCTCTGACTCGGGTCTGGTCTATCCAAGCCAGCAGCCTGACCACGCTAAGGCCAGAACAGGCCTTGGGGTAGAGAGTCATGCTTACGTCAGAAATGCCAAGGGGTCGCCACTAAGTCTGAGCCCAAGGCCGGTGCCACCCCAGATACAGTCAGGGATGTAGACATAACACCCACAGGGGTCGAGTCACAAAGTTATTCCCAGGAGGTCAGCTCGGAAGTGTGGCTACACAATGCTGCACTAACCCTTGGGTTGACTTCCTGGCTGCAGCAAGGTCTGCATGGGCAGGTTCTGTGTTCCGTCTGAGCCACCGCAGGCCACACTCAGGTGGGTCCTCTAAATGTGTCCTCCTTTCTAGGATGGGCACTGGTTCCATTTATCACAGAGGGAATCAAGGCAGCATGTATTAACTAACGACGAGTGGACAAACCAGCTCTGAAGTAGCCTCACATCTTCTCTATGAAAGCCCCAGAGAACATCTGCTCACCCACTTAGTTCTGTCCATGGAGAAACCTTAGACCCTGAGCGATGTGAGGACTTGTCCAGGCACACACTATGAGGCCTCAAGTCAGCGCCCTACACAAGCATTCCCCAGAACTTCACAGGGCCCGCCCTTGTTAGTCTGCAAGGAGAAGAGGAAGACATCCGCCCCGGAGCCAAGCAAGCTCCACCTCTGAAATGGTTCCTGCTGATCCTTCTGTTACTCTCCCAGCTCTGGGGGTTTCTGTCACATGTTGAGGCCATCACTAGTGCCTTGACAAAAAGATTCTCAAAACTGGAAGAATTGCCTTTACTATTTCATCCCCATATGCAAAAATAAGGCAATCAGATCAGCCGAGCCCATGAGCTGCTGCAGGAGAGAGGGGATTTGACAGATGGAGCATTTCTGCTCACATCCTGTCCTCCTGGCCCCAGGTAAGCTTCTTTTGGCAGTGAAGGTGAATGTACAGACTGGCCATCCAGCCAAACACTCCAAGTCAACCAGGAAGCAACTGGTCTGCAAACTCAGGTCTGCGAGCAGCTCCCACAGAGGGACGTGCTACACCACGCCGGTAAACAGACACATGTGTGCTCTGGCTTGAGAAGGCCTGCTTAAGGCTCGGAGGAAACCACAGCAGGCCAGGTGGTATACGCCCTGCCTAAGTTTCAGTGTAGAAGGAAATTCAGAGCTAGTGAGTATGTATGGTAGTTTGCAGAAGAATATAGTGATCAGAATGCCCCAAGGTTTACACACAGAACAGGAGACTCCCAAAGTGTTTTCATAGGCTTTCTGTAACAAAAAGGAATAGTGGCCAAGTAAGTTTAGAAAACACAGGATTAAAGAAAGTTGAAGGGCTGGGGCTGCAGCTCAGTAGTATAGCACTTGCCCTGAATGTGTGAGGCCCTGGGTACCATCCCCAGCACCGTAAAGGGAAAAAAAAGAGAAAGTTGAAAGCACTTCTGGAGCCTTTGAAACGCTCACATTTTTTGGGACTCTCCAAGAAGGAAGCACAGAATGTGGTATTTCCCAATATTCAGTTGCCAGCATCTTATAGGACCAACAGGACCTTCTCAGAGTGGGGGAGGCAGACAGGAGCCAGGCAGCACATACTGGTATTACACTGTTGGCATAGGCAGCTTTCACAGTGCACCTTACAGGAGCAGTGCAGTGAAACGGTGTCTGCTGTGGTTTGGGTCTGGAAAGCTACCCCTGTCACCAAAGCCTTATGCACTGAGAGGCAGGGCCTGTGGAAAGTGACTGGATTATGGGGCACCACAGGTGGGGCCTGGCTAGAGGTGGATCATCGTAAATGTCACCGGGAAGGGCATATCTCCCTCCTCAGGTCCTCCCTTCTCTTGCTTCCTTCCATGATATGAGCACCTTACCCTTTCCTGTGCTCTTCTGCCATCCTGTTCCTGCCTTGGAGCTGGCCAACCACACAAGGACTGAAGTTTCTGAAAACGTGGGCCAAAATAAATCTCTCTTCCTTTAAATTACGTGTCTCTTATCCCAGCAACAAGTGACTCCAACCGGATCTAATGAGGTTGCAAGGAAAGACACAAACATTCATAGGAGTTAAGTCCCTGTGAGGAGTTGGGAAACTCCACCTCCTCTTCTGCTAGGCCTAAACTCCACACCTGGGAACGACCCCAGGGAAAGAGGGAGGCACAACGCTCCAAACCTAGGGCTTCCAGGGACCTAGTGTGGTGGGACAGTGCAGTACGCACAGCAGGAAGGGAAAAGTGTGTCCCCGTCTGGTATTTCACGGGGTCTCCCCTGACAGCCCCTCAGAATGGACTGAACCCTGCTCTGGGAAGCAGGCCTTTCTTCTTTCCCTGGTCACCTATCCTTCTATTCTGCTCACCAACCCTACCCCTTTGGCCATCAACCACTTTCCAACGAGTCCCTTATACAACTCTCCCTCAGTCAAGCAACCAACCCTTGTGTAACAACAGAAAAATCCGTGCTACTGGATTAACAAAGACAAGCAATTTTAAGGAATTGTGGAAAATAACAGTGCCCCCCTCCCTTGCTCCACTGAAGAGGGGGCCTCGTGGAGCCCAGGGCTGCTCCGTCCCCATGACAACCCATGCTCTTCTCAGTCCTCCTTAGGCATCCGTTCAACCACGCCCTTCCCTCCCTCATTTGCCTGTCCCCTCAACGAGTGTCCTCATCTCGGCCCTTGCTGCTTCTCTCTGACTAGGAGTCCACCTTATCCCTTGGACAATACTCTGATCCCCAAACATGCCCCAGCTCTCCAGTCTCCCCCAGTTGCCCCAGCTGTGTTCCTGCTGCGAACCTCGAGTGAGTCAGTTGGCTCTCAGGCTCCTGACCCCTACGGAAGCCCAGACATGCCAATCCTCCCGTCACACACCTGTCATCCAGCAGCGGTCCTGGCCCTAGGTCCTCTCCCGAGACCAGCCAACATTCGTAGGTGGGCCACAAGCGCAGCCCCCCAGCATCCGCGTCTAAATCCCCGCTCCCACGCACAGGCGCGGCCCACCCCTGAAGCATGCGCAATGCACCCCTGTCTGCGGCGGGCACATTCCAGCCCCTCCCACCGTACGCACCAAGGGCAGGTGCTGGAAGCCAGCGCCCCTTGTATTCTTCGGTGATTTGCTCCTTCAGAGGTTCTGCTCCTCGGCTGAAAAGTGGCAAGAATATTTTAATTCATACACTTTGGGATTCCAAAAGATAAATTCTAGAAATTCAGAGTATTCTAATGTTTGTAATTCAGCTCATCCGGCCCCCTGGGTTTGGGGGCGGGAGAGTAAGAATGAGAAGAACAAAGGGCGCTGCCGTGCTGAGAGAGGGGTCCCGGGCATGCAAGGATTTATTTTTTATTTCATTTTGAATACCAGATTTTATTCTTGGGAACAAATGTAACTTCCTCACCTAGGTGAGTCCTAGGCATGGCTTTATTTTAGCTGAAAGATGAGACAAGGGTTGTAGAGAAAACTTCCATGAAACTGCACTGAAATGAATGCAAGGAAGTGGAAGAGGAAACTACTGACTCACCTGTACGACTATCCACCCCGCCTCCTTTCCCAGTCCAACTTGGCTCCCTGGGCTCTGACCCAGCTGCCTCGCCAGAACCTGCCGTGGCTGTACCGAGCCACACAAGAGGCCATCGAGGAATGCGCGAGATCCAGGACATCTCTTGCCCCCTCAGACGCATGAGCTCCTAAGCCCCATGGATCCCAAACACAGCACCATCCATACCTACCATGCTGCCTGGTCCCTGCCTTTCCAGCCCTGGGAGCATGAACGTTAGCCACTGTGTCCCTGGCCACTTACGTGGACCACAGATGAGTTAATTCATTCACTGATGGATTGGGGGGTGGAACAGAAGGAAAGGAAGCAAGAAAGAAGGGGTGTGGGGGGGAGTTTGTGGGAGTGTGTGTGCTCTCTACAAGGTTCTCATGATCTCATGACTGTCCCAGATGTGTAGCTGGGGAGGCCTCCTCTGGGCTTGGCTTGTCGAGTTGCCCCCTCCTTGAAAACCAGGGAATAATCAAAGCCCATACGCATGCATGCGCCACACCATTCATTCCTGCCCACCTGTCCTAGGGGAGTCCTACACAGGACACGACAAGGCCTCGGACAGAGACAAGGGGAGCCAAGGACCAACTTCCCAGCAGCACTTTGGCCACTTGGCAAGGAGGAAAACAGCTGGTTTCATTTCGCCGTTAATCCTACCCTGAGCACCCTTCTGCCTCTCTCAGCAAATACCCGAGCTTGCTGCAAGAAGACCAGAGGCTTCTGTGTGAGCCCCGTGAGGTTCTTGGCCACAAACAAGCCCTGGAAGTTGTTACGGACTCCAGGAATTCAGGGGAAAATGTGAAGTGTGCAAAATGATGGGGTACAGAAATCCAAAAGGGGCCCCTGGGAGCCAAGGAGATTCAGAGAAAGGAGCGTACAGAATAGGTTATTTTGGAAAGAATGTAGCTGCAAAGCCACCCTGACACATGGAGGAGTAGTAACAGCGAGGGCAGAGCAAGTTTAACGGATGGGACTGGCACCAGGTAGGGGTAGGCAGACGCTACTTTCCTGACCACGGTAGATGCGGGGACAATCCTACTCCAAGACTCGGGAAGGTGAGGGCCATCTGCTTTCACCTCCCATTGCCCTTATAAGTCCCAAAGCTGGCATTTTTCTCCTCTCCAAAAAGTATTTCCCTCTCTCAAAGCAACTACTTTGCAGCCATTTCTTGAGGGGCCTTTAATGGTTTTTGAAATATAAGCCTGGAGCTCCAAATGCTGCCTGGCCAATCTGCTGGAACGCTTCACCTCCCCAGAAATCTCTCCACAAATGACTTTTCTTCTTCTACCATAAACAGAGCCTTTGGAGCAATGGGCCTTTTAATCAACAATTATAAGAAGTTTTAAAAGTCACTTTTAAAAGGCTGTCTCGGTGAGCCTGCTCAGCTCTTCCTTCTGTTCTGGAGGGACTGCCTGATGGTGGCAGGAAGCAGGCACCAGTGGGAGGTGGGAGGTGGGGAGCAGTGTCATCCATCACTCGGTGACAGTCCCCTAGTGCCCAGGGGTCCTCAGAGCGCGCATCTGCAGCCGGAGCAGAGCTGGCATGATTTATCACAGGCAGGGTGGTGCTCTCGCCCCGTCGGGTTTATCAGTTTACTAGCTGCTCCTCTGCTTACCGACCTCCCAGCCCCACACACAGGCACCCTCTGCCGTGATTTCCATGCTGCATCTCCACTCCAGCTCCATGCATCTAAATGCTTCCGAGAGCTCCTCGAACTCAAAATATCCAGGAAGATGCATGTGTGTGCTTGTTCCTACAAGTCAGCTCTCTCGCTTCTGTGCCTCAGCAAATGCCATTCTCATCCCCCAAGCCCAAAGCCCTGCCATCACCTCAGATTCCTCTTTTTCCACACCACTGTACCCCACCCAGTTCCAGCTGGGGGTCCAGTCTGCTTTACCTTCAAACCACACCCTGCTCTCTTGCCATGACTGCCCTCTATCCGGTCGGCCACCTCTCAGCTGCAAAACGGTGCAGCCTCCTCTGCGTCCTACAGCAGCCAGGAAGGTCGCCCTGCAGACAGCACAACCACAGTGGCGTCCTCACCCACCACAGCTGGAGCTTGGATGTGCTGGGTGCAGCCCCAAGTGCAGCTAGGGGAACCCCTCCTCCCCACCAGGCAGTCTGAGGGCAGCCATGGGACATGGAAGCAGTGACCACTCTACTCGCACTGTGCTCTGAGGGCACCAGTGGGACAGATCCAGTGGTCCTACTCCCAGGAAGGTTGGGGTCAGCAAATGAAGGTCTCAGACCTTTCTCCTCTCTGCCTCCACACCTGGCCCCATGCTCCATTCCGAGCCTTTCTCTCCTCACTCTGCTGTCTTCAAACCCCAAATCCAGTTTATCCTTCAGCTCTCAGCTTACCATCCCCTTCTTACGAAGGCCTCTCTGCCCGCGGGCCGTCAGCACTGAGTTATCTGGACGCCCCACGCTTTGCCTGGCAAGAGCTTATCCCTTTGCCATGCAGGCTTGTTAACAGCCGGGTGATGTCTTTGTTTTCAGTGCACACCTGACTTCCCCGCTGGTCTTTAAGCGCAGTGAGGGCCAGGACTGGATATGTTTCGTTTGGGGCTAATCCCTAGGACACACACAATAGGTTCTCAGTAAATGTTGACTGAATAAATACATAATTCTACAGTTCTTAAGTAGGAGGCTGCCCTAAGCCAAGAAATCTAGAAAAGGAAAGAGGGATAGTGCTGGACCCTCCCAGGATGAGGTATATTTCAACACAAAACCTTGCAGCTGAGAAGTTCGGTTATCCTCAGATATAGTATTCAGGGGGGGAAAAACAGATACGACATTTAAAACTAAATTCGTGGCGAATGCAGCATCACGGAGGGAAGGGAGGACCTTTGTAATGCTCCAGGGAGAAGTCTAGCCGCTGGCTACCCGGTTACCTGGCAGAGGCTTCCCAGAGGGGGAGGGGTTGGCTGCACCCCAGGTACACGCGCCTAAGACGCTGCTCGCCAAGCTGGGGGCCCTCCCATATTTCCCTCTACCTAGAGCCTCAGACATCCTGGCCCAGGCCTCTTCTGGTTCGCTTTAGTTCCGCAAATAGGTCGCTTTATGTGCAGCTTTTATTCCTTCGGGAAGCTACCCTGTTCTCTCCTCCTTGGGGCAGGGCGGGACGATCAGTAGTAATTTCCCTCCCCTCGCTCAACCTCTGACCGCAGAGGTGGGCGGGAATATCAAGTGAAGGCAGTCATACTTCCGCACCTCTCCACGCGTAGTTGGTCTCGGGGTGGCGATGAAGCGATCCTTTCCAGACTCCTGTACTGTATGGAGCCTCCCACTGATCTGTCGTCAGGCTGCAAACACACCGCCGTCCTCCCTGACTACATCCGGGGGAAGCCCCCTGCAGTGGCGGAAAAACCAATCACAATAGAGCCAAAGAGAAAGATCATCATTTGCCTTGGAGATTCAGCCTTGTCTTAAAGCAGACATCTAAATTTGCCACCCTTTGTGAGCAAGCATCAGAGGAGAGGACCTCTCCTCCCAGAAGGTTCCCAGACTGACCCAGCGTCTGAACAAACTCGCCTCCTCCAACTCTAGGCCAAGAGTCTGTCTGCGAGCCCCCGCTACCGCACAGTGAGACAGAAAACCAACTGCAGCTGCACCCGGCTTCTGTGACTCAACCCAACCCCAGGGACGCGCTCCCCTGGCCTGTTTTCCATCCTGGAACCAGGAAGCTGTCCACACGAAAGCCAAGGTTTCCATCTCCCCAGCACACCCCACCCCTCTCAGTGGGAACAAACCCGATGGACCCCCTCGGACACTCACTCTGCCTGTGGGGGCAGCAAATGGTCTTTGGGGGCAGAATGTGGATGCCCTCTGCGTTTCACTTCTTCCCAGTCTTTACTCCGTGTGCGTTTGGTCCCAGTCTTGTGCCAGGCGCTGTACTAGGCACTGGGGCTATGAAGACCCTGTGCCATGCAGGCTGATATCTCCCTAGCATCGCTGTGCCCTTGCTCACTCCCTCCTAGGTCACAGGGGAACCCCCAGAGCTCCTGTCCACAGGGTCCCAGGGACAGGCACCCCCACGATAACTGAAAGGCAGAGGAAGAACCTTGATTTTTCAGGCCTAAGCTGTGAGGCAGCAAGTTGAGGCTTTGCCCATAATTTCCGGGTTTTTGTTGGGAAACCCCAAGTCTAAAGCTACAGGCAACTGAAATCATCAGCTGCAACCTCCCAGGAGATTCCTGCATTTCCAGACTTCCTGAATGTGGCCTCTCTGACTTTGGCTTCTGCCCATATTCCACCTCAAACCATTGGGTAAGATTCTAAATCCTTA